CATTTTTCAATGCAATTCACGGGAAATCGTAGTTTACGTCGTAAACTTTATTTTGCGAAAAATTCAAGTCTTAATATTTATAAACAATTGCGCTACGATTTTAAAAAAAAATTCTTATCTTGGCTCCTGTTGGTCGTAGAGGGTACTTTTTGTTTTTAAATTTGTATTTTTTGCCAGCTATTTATTACATCTATTTTCGGTGAGGTAGCATAAATAGCAACATTTTATTCAAATTGTTTATAAGCGAAAAACGCACGGTTTTTTAATGCACAATTTGAGAATGTTAATGTCAAAAAACGGTGATATTTTTTAATAGGTCGCTTAATTACGTCTTTAAGATTACAATGCTTTCAGAATCATGTTTGGTTGAAAATGAACGCAGGCTTAATGTTCATAACGTTTCGAGCCTCCGTTATAAACAAATTGAATTGTGCGAAAACTATTGCACCTACAGCGCCCACCTTTGGCACACTTTGAAAGTATGACAAAACCCTCAACTTGTCATAGGTTTTATAAAATTTTAACAATAAATTCGATAGTTATAAACAAATGTAAAAATAGGCACTTTTCTTGTTTTTCTTGCAATAACTTTTTTGTTTATTAACCGATTTTAATTTAATAAGTCTCAGTTTGTAGATAATTGTATTCCCTACAAGCCGTCTGAGAGTCACTCTTCGCTAAAATTGATGGTTTTCCCTGCAAAGTGAAAATACTGTACTTTCCTCATATACTTGTTTAAATAGAAAAGTTAGACAATAAAATTTTTTGACTCACGAGATGAGAGATGTTTTGTATTATGTTCCTTTAGACAATTTTACAATAATCTCGCGGATAGGACTTTTTTCAAGTAAAAATTTTATTTGCTTGGCCTATATGTAATGTAGTAAGTTTTTAACAACAACATTGACAAATAAATTTTATTTTATTAGCAGAAATAGACAGATGTTACATATTACATAAATATTTTTAAAATTCCTCATTGATTGGCTTTATAGTCAGTTCGTGGATCTGGAAGAAAGAAAATTGTGTCGTATAAATTGTTATAATAGTGTGGATAGGTAAAGCAAAAAATATGAAAATATGAATTTAGTAATTCTTATTATTAGGTAGCTATAATAGTTTTTACCGAAATGTATTTGACTACATTATTAGTATCGTGGACTACTGGTCATTAAATTAATTTTACGTTACGATGAAGAGGAAGAAGATTCTGTTAATTATTTATTGCAATTGAAAATGTACCTGTACGTGAGGTGGTGTGGATAAAACGTATGTAACTGCGTCTGCTACGTCTTCAGCCTGCAGGAGTGTTTTAAAAGCTTTCAGAAGTTGAGGATCATTCCGGTGTTCATTGCTGGGTTCTAATATTTCGGTTTCTGTGGCACCAGGACTGACGCTCTAAAATAATCAGACATAATAATCTATTATTATCAGATACATGTATAAATTATTTTATTAGAAATTCTGTAGAAAATAAAAAAATGTCATTTCGTCCCAGAGTAATATTATCCATCCAAAATTGTTCAAGTTAAAGTTTAATTAATAAAGTTACAGGGATGTTATGGCATCTAGTAGTTTAGTTGTTCTATATACAGGGTGTTACATTGTTGTACTGACAAAATTGTGTAGGGAATTTCACATAAGGCTACCTACTCCTTGTATTTTTCTACCTTGTTATCAAAATTATAATAATAATAAGGAGCAAAGTTTTAGAAAATTATCCTCTGTAATCTCAAATAAATATAAAAAGAAACAATTGAATGCTGCATAAACTAATTACAAAAAAAAACACTAAAATCTCTCAAAAACGAAGCGTTTGTGTTCATATGTTTTTTTTTTTAAATTTTAGGTCAAAAAATCAGCTGCATAATTTTATCAATGGTTTAACATTTTTATAGAAGTTCGTAGAAGTAGAAAATCTTCCTGTCTGCTGTGCTGAAATATTTTCTGTAAATAGTTTGTTATTGGATATCATTATTTCCCTTCTGCATGTAATATTTTTAAAATTTTCAACAAATTTTGTCAATTCTTGTTTCTGAAATACGCTTTAATTATTACAAATAAATTTGTTTAAATCTTTTTNCCTTCTGTAATATTTTTATAATTTTCATCAACAAATTTTGTCAATTCTTGTTTCTGAAATACGCTTTAATTATTACAAATAAATTTGTTTAAATCTTTTTTTGGTGTATTGACATTTTTTCAATAATTTTGAAATTATTTTGTTTATGGTTTTGAGTTTTGTTGTTATTTCTGAAAAGTTTCTCTATGATTATAAACGATTAATAAAATCTGTCATTAACATTCTAATAATAAACTTTTTCTCCAATGTTTTGATTGCTTACCGTAATTTTGATCTTAGATTCCACCGAATTCAATTCCAACCTCAAAGACTCAGTCAGAGCCGTCACCGCGAACTTCGTAGCCGGATAGATATTCAGACAAGGCACATTATAGACCTTATGCCCAGCAATGCTGTTTATATGGATTATGTGCCCATCGACACTGTTCTCTTTCATACTTTTTATCGCTTCTCTAGTAGCTATGCAAAGTCCAAGCACGTTGACGTCCAGCATTTGCTTCCACGATTCCGTATCTCCCTCTGAAAGACTACCCAGTTTAATAACACCAGCGTTGTTGACTAGGATGTGTACAGGTCCTAGGTTGTCCTTTACCCATTTGAACGCTTCTAAGATGTCCTTTTCTTTGGTCAAATCCGCCCTGACAGGGTGGAGCTTTCCCTTTTTTCCGGTGAGTTTTTGCGAGAGTTCATCAATTTTTTCTTCTCTTTTGTCTAAGCCGACTACCTACAAAAGAAAATTATAATTTATGTACTCAAATCTAAAGTACTCCATTCTACAAATAGAAGATGGTTCTTAAGGGTTGTTTTAATGTCTTCATTATTTTGTTGACTTTTGGCTATTTTCAAAGGAAACAGAAAGCAACAAAAAAACACCCTGACTGATATTTTAAATCTATTTGTTTTCTCTACAAGACTACTTATAATTTATTGGATTGCAACGAAGTACACCTACACACGTAGCAACTAAACTTAAGTGAGGATCGTATTCGTTTTCCTTTTCTGCATTTTACAGCGGTTATACTTTTTCTTCAAAGCTGATGAATAAATTTTTTATTTGAAATTATATCTTAATTATTTTAATTAATGTATAAACTTATAACTATCTTTCCATGCATACCTGTAATCCATTTTCAACAAGCGCTTTGCATATAGCTGCTCCCATTCCAGCACCGGCACCGGTAACTATTGCCACTTTTCCAATCCAACGATCCATGGAAAGAACCATTTTGACTACTATATGGTTTAGTAATACGTATATTGTGACTGGTGCTATTACACAGGAAAAATAGTTAATTTATATAGAGACATTATAATTCCCCCTTTTCCATTTCGTTTCTTTCGAAGAACTGGGAATAATATTATCTAAGCAGAGGGCAAACGTAATACAATAACCCTTATAATAATTGTAGATTTGTTAATTAACCACAACTCATTCATTATCATGTCATTATTAATTTTTTAAACTCAGTAGAACCATTGGTAAATAATGAATAACAAAAGAAAGTTTATTTTTATTTTCATTTATGTATAAGATAATTATGTACGGGGTTAATTTTATCTCAATCAGGTTATCTTCCATTTCAGTGTATTAAAAAAATGTCTTTAATAAACAGTAAACAATGTTTCAAATTATTATAAGAGTAATACAAATTTTTCCTATAATATAAAACGTTTTTAGTGCAATCGTTTGTATATTCATAAAATAGTAAAAACTTTTCAAGTTGATACTCATGTTCAAAAAAGATTCTTGCTCAAAATAATACATTTTCCTGCTTATAATTTGTATGAGAATTTATTGTACACCTTGTACAATACGGATATCCTTGAAGTCGAATAAATATAAGAATAAAGTACATAGTAGTTAAATCTGGAAAATTAAAATACTTGAATTTTTTAAATTAAATTTATATCTTTTGTAGTTAATGTGATAATTCCAGTACTTTAGTCTTTTTCGATATATGCAACTGTTATTTCATTGAAACTAAATATTTATTATTATAGAACGTTGCAAAGAAAACGTCATATATCTCTACTAATTATACACAATGTTATACATTCTTCTTTGTACAATAGTTGCACATTTGTAGGTATTTTACGGATTGGATTTTAAGGACAAATTAAATTTCAGTCAGTAGTGACCAATTTCTTTTAGTCGGTTGTGATATAAAATAATGATAATATGAAAAATAAAGAAAGAACACAATATAAAACATTTAACTGTATTAGATTCCACTACCAAAACTAACATTATGGGGCTTTCTTTGTGAGAATGAATTCAATTACTATTTACTACTTTAACAGTAGAACAAGCAGTAGTAGAGGTAGCGTCAGCATTGTTGTTTCAAATTTTCTTTCCAATCTGAATTTTCTGTTAAAGAGAATCTTCGATATATCCTTCAACTAATTTCGTTCGTTTTTTAAATATACAAAATACTTCAAATTAGTGGTGCCTGTATCATAATCTTACTCAGAAGTTGCCGATTTGTGAAATGATGATTGATATAAGTCTCTGGATTTCCTCGTTTCAGGAACATGGAGAAACAGTCAGCTGATTGTTGTTGTCTGCGGAACCAAATTTAGGTATTTTTAATACGTACATCTATACTGAGTTAATTTTATTAAAAAACACTAACTTGTTGGGTTGTCCGCAAATTTCTCCAATAGCGTTTGACTGCATATTCACGACGATAAATAAATATGATCTACGATAAAAAGTTAAATAAAAAAATTTTTGGTTTTTGAGTTACAGGCCTTCAAAGTGGTCAAAAATACCTTTTCCTTTTAGCGGTCAAAACTTTTACAGTGGTAGTACTTTGTTAAACGGGCTGCAACATTGAAAATTTCATTTTATTAAAAAAATTGTCTGAAAATCGCCTACTAAAAACCATTCTTGAGAAAAATTGCATTATTTGCAGGTCTGTATGTTTTGGTTTGTGTAGCATTGTCACGAATTTAAAACTTTGAGTTCAGTTGGCGATGAAAACAAAAAGTTGATTGCTGTGGCTATCAGGTAATGTCATTTGCTTTAAGTGGGAGCGTACGTTTATTTTAATGTTAATTGATTTTACTACTTTTTTAAATTCGTTGCCTTAGTTTATTTAGGAAGAAGTTTTTATTAATATCGTTTTATTAAATGAATATTCCATTCATTCAATGACCAAGAAAAACAATAAAAATATTAGTAGAACTAGAAAATGCCAAGATTTAACAAAAGAAGAGAAAATACGCTATGATGACAGCGATGATATATCAACAAGATCTCACTTGCGTATGAGGTTATTCTTCCCGAGCATGCGCATTAGGAATGACACGGCTAATGTTAAATTTGTACTTTATTTAAATTAAGGAATATTCTTTTATATCGTTTTTTGTAAGATTTAAGCACATTACTGTATCCACATAAAAAGAATTCCTTAACAAGGGAGGAAACAGAATACAATAGATGCAGTTGTGACAGATAATAACTTGGACGAGATAAATATAAATTACGATTGTTAAATGCATTTTTTATTAAAATAATAACTGGTATGACTTTATAATAAGTGTATTAAAGTATTTAACAACAACATTGACAAATTAATTTTATTTTATTAGCAAAAATGTGCAGCGGCTGTGTATTACATAAATATTTTTAATATTCCTCCTTTATTGGTTTTATAGTCAGTTCGTGGATCTGGAAGAATGAAGAAAATGTTATACAGGGCGATTCACAAATGGTGACCAAAAATGAAACCTCTTATTTGGAGAATTTTAAGGGAAGTTTTTCCTATAAAGTTTTTATCTAGAAGGCTTCGTTAAAAAGATACAGGATGGTAAACTTCAACAAATATTTTTAACATTTTTAAACAATTTAAAAATTAGTAAGTGAAATAATTTGAAATTGTTCACATGTATTTATGTAAATATAGTCCAAAATCTGGAGGCTTTTCCTAAAATTTACATGCTCAAGTTGCGGAGATACAGGGTATCGGTGGTATATTTTTCTAAATAAAATAGTACGCCCCTACTTTACGGGAACACCATAATATTTTCGCATTCGTCTTTCAATTTTCTACAAATTACTGCCCTCTTATATTTTTCGAGAAAAGCCTGATTTTCGAGTAAAACTTAAAAAACGTTCTGAAAACGCACCGATATTCGAATATAATGCTTTATAAAATTATATAGTCGGCTGCGATAGCAATTTTGACATTCTGAGCAGTTAGAAGAAAGAATAAATAAAGCTTTTCATCAGATTCAAGCAACAACAAAATTCGAACAAATTATATTTTCGTTACAAAAAAGATGTCGGGCCTGTGTTCGTGGGAACGAAGGTATTTTTGAGCATTTACTGAAATAAAATTATTAAAATGATGACTAATATTATTAATTTCTTTATCCCAATAAATAACCGAATGATTGGGTTTGTCATGTCATTTAAGTAAAACTGCTTTCAGTTGTTTTTTTAAGTTTTACTGGAAATCAGTCTTTTGTTCGAAAAACATAAGAGAGTAGTAATTTGCGGCGTGTTATTTTCTTTAGAAAAATATGCCACCGATACCCTGTATCTCCGCCATTGGAGTATTTAAACTTACTAGTTTTTAAATTATTTAAAAAAAAATTAAAAATATTTTTTGAAGTTTGACACCCTGTATCTTTTTAACGAAGTGTCCTAGCTTTGTAGGAAAGACTCCCTTAAGATTCACTAAAGAATCATTTTTGGTCACCATTTGTGAATCACCCTGTATAAATTGTTAATAGTGTGGATAAAGTAAAAAATATGTATTTAGTAATTCTTCTATTCTATTATTATTATGTATACAGGGTGTCTGCGAAAGGTTGGGAAATCTCGAAGCTGGAAATTGTTTTTTAGAAAACTGTAAATAATTTGGTTCATACGATAGTTGAAGTGGCATTAGTTTAATTTAAGGATTAAAAGTTGCTTAAAAATGAAATGCATCAAAATTTGTATACAGGGTGTTAAAAAAATAGTGTAAAATATTTAAGGAGGTAATAGTATGAATACAATACGCATATTTGGGCCGACGAAAATTCTCATGCTCTAATAGAATCTGGACATCAGGCACGTTTTTCATTAAACATTCGGATGGGTATTGTAGGTGACAGGTTTCTAGGTCCTGTTGTTTTACCAAACCGATTAACAGGCGCTGCTTACCTCAACTTTCTGCAGAACACACTGTATGAGTTTTTGGAAGACATTCCTTTGAATCAGAGGCAACAAATGTGGTTCCAGCATGATGGTGCTCCAGCTCATTTTTCCATGGCCGTTAGAGAGCATTTACATCAAACTTTTCCACATAGATGGGTAGGAAGAGCCGGACCTGTTTTATGGCCTCCAAGATCGCCTGATCTGAACCCTCTAGATTTCATTGTTTGGGGATATTTGAAGACATTAGTGTATGGTACTCCTGTAAATAGCCTGGAAGAGCTGCAGCTACGGATTAATCAAAAGTGTCAAGGAATCCAAACCAAGGAGGGTGTTTTCGAAAGAGTTCGAATATCGTTGAGACGAAGATGTCGTGCCTGCTTGGAAATGAACGGAGGGCACTTTGAACATCTTCTGTAACTTTGTTTTTTGTTTGTTAAAAGCTTTCCTTTGTCGGTTTATTCCTAATAAAATAAAATGTTTGAAAAACGAATAGCAGTCCATATATCTAGTCCATAAACAAAGGATTTTCTTTCATGACTTCAATATACAATGTCCGTAATTCTAAAGGCAAAAAATTCCCCTATTTATCAAATGAATAGGGCATAATTGGCGCCCCATACAACTAACGCCAAAATTGGTTAAAAATTTTTATTTGTCATGTAAAAAAACATAACAGTACCATTTTTTTTGTTTATACTCCAACAGTTTTCAAAATTATTGAGGAATAAAATAAAATTCAAACATTGAACGCCCGCCCTGTATCTTTGAGACCAGCAATATTTGCATAAAGCATATTTGGCTCAATCGACTTATTTTGGCCACCAAATATCTTCAACCCAACCTTACGCAGACAAAAATGTCTAAATCAGTATCGTGGACTACCTACTGGTCATTAAATTAATTTTATGTCAGGATAAAGAGGAAGGAGATCCTGTTACTTATTTATTGCAATTGAAAATGTACCTGTACGTGAGGTGGTGTGGATAAAACGTATGTAACTGCGTCTGCTATGTCTTCAGCCTGCAGGAGTATTTTAAAACCTTTCAGGGGTTGAGGATTATTCCGGTGGTCACTGTCGGTTTTTAATATTTCGGTTTTCGTCGCACCAGGACTGATGCTCTAAAATAATCAGATACATGTATTAAATTATTTTATTAGACATTCTGGGACTTCACTGTCTTCCATATTCCACAGATACAGTGTTTTTCTGTAGAAAATAAAAAAGTGCTAGTCTGACCCATAGTAATATGATCCAGCCAAAATTGTTCAAATTGAAATTTAATTAAAAAAGTTACAGGGATGTTATGGCTTTTAGTAGGTTGTTCTGTATACAGGGTGTTGCATTGTTCCGCTGACAAAATTGTGCAGGGATTTTTAGAAAACAGTCTACTCCTTGTATTTTTCTATCTTATTATCAAAATTATAATAACAATAAGGATCAAAGTTTTAGAAAAGAAACAATTGAATGCTACATAAATTGCTCTGATTTAAGTCAAGTTAATTTTATTTTAATCCAGTATTCTTATACAAATAAATTCCACTCTTTTGCTAAATTTGCAGTTATATTTTAACAGTTGGATATTTATTAGAAATATTCAATTCAGTTGTAAATTTAGCAAAAAGTAAGGTTTAATTATATTAGAACTTTCCTTTTTTTTTAGTAGATGAATTGGGATAATTCGCTCACAGGTTAGGGCACCAGACTTGGAAACATATTGTAACAGTTCTATTCAAAGTTAGCCATAAACTACGCAAAACAAGTGTAGCTATTCTTTAAATTACATTTTGTTGAAACACAAGTATAAAAAAGTTTACAAAATAAATAAATTTCCGATAATAAATTATTCATGAATTTATTTACTGCGATATTGGTCAATAAATTAACTTAGTTTATGATATTTTTTTCCAATTCGCTTTATTTCACGATCGTTTNAAACTTCCGATAATAATTATTCATGAATTTATTTACTGCGACATTGGTCAATAAATTAACTTAGTTTATGATATTTTTTTCCAATTCGCTTTATTTCACGATCGTTTTTGGTCTACCCCATCTTCAGAAAAAACATCATATCCGATTTATTATAAAAAAAAAAAATTGCAAATGTTAGGTTTTGGTCATGTATTGTTCAAATTTTATAAAAATATTACGCTCTGCATAATATTAATAATAAAAAAAGTTGCATAATCAGGGGACCAACATTAGGCCTCTAAAAAATCAAGGCTAACATGATTAGCTTTCGAAATATTTGAAAAAAAAACCCGAAATTTTGGAAATCCGTTTTTGTTTCGTTTTTGCCTTGTTTGAAGTAATATTGAAAAAGAAGAACACTTTCTCATAGCAACTTTTTGCCGTCTATCGAATGGAATAATCAATTTGTTTATGGTTTTGAGTTTTGTTGTCTTATCTTCATAATCTCTTTAATAAATTTTAACGAATACTCTCATTGAAATTCTTGAATTTTTTCATTTCTGAAAACTTTTCCTATGATTACAAACGATTCATAAAATCTGTCAACTGTCTATTAATAATTTTTTTTTCAATGTTTTGTTGGCTTACCGTAATTTTGATCTTAGGTTCCACCGAATTCAATTCCAACCTCAAAGACTCCGTCAGAGCCGTCACAGCGAACTTCGTAGCCGGATAGATATTTAGACAAGGCACATTAGAGACCTTATGCCCAGCAATGCTGTTTATATGGATTATGTGCCCGTCGGCACTGTTTTCTTTCATACTTTTTACTGCTTCTCTAGTAGCTATGCAAAGTCCAAGCACGTTTACGTCCAACATTTGCTTCCACGATTGCGTATCTCCATCTGAAAGATTGCCCAGTTTAAGAGCACCAGCGTTATTGATCAGAATGTGTACAGGTCCTAGGTTGTCCTTTACCCATTTGAACGCTTCTAAGATGTCCTCTTCTTTGGTCAAATCTGCCCTGACAGGGTGGAGCTTTCCTTTTTTTCCGATGAGTTGTTGCGAGAGGTCATCAATTTTTTCTTCTCTGTTGTCTAGACCGACTACCTATGAAAGAAAATTATAATTTACGTAATCAAAACAATTTTTTGTATTTAATTTTATTCTGCATGTTCTGTCAGTCAGTCAGATACATACAGCCATCATTTTTGTGCCAGAAATATATCCATCTACATTTTAATTAAATCGGTTAAATTAAAAGTTTAGGAAATATTCGTGATTTTATGTCACAGTGTTTTGTGCAAATAAGGTTAAAATTCTTATGAAATATTTTTCTGCAATACTACTACTTTCCGCAATAATTCAAAAACCCTTGCAGAGATTTAAGTAATTTTTGGGTGAAGTGTACATTTATTAAAGGTCATTAAAACTATATGGTGTTTATTTCACCAGGGGCGGCCTTGGCCAACTTGTCCTCAAGGTTATGTCTTCATAACTTTTATATATCCTAGTTTTAGGTAATTTGATTACGTTTTCCTGAATCTGCAACAAAAAATGTGCTCTTGTTTCATAGCTCAAAAATTAACCGTTTTCGAGTAAATTAGATCTAAAGTATCGACTGCATTAGTTCGTAGTATGCATGTAAAGATTTTATTCTTAACTAGTAGGTACCTGTTATTATAAATAACAAAGTTGTTTACCGTTAAGGTACAGTTTTCCATGTAGCTGCGGCTCAATGAATGTGAAGGAACTAAACAAGTTTTCTATGAATTATTTAATATTTGGTTACGTACCTGTAGGGGAACTAAAAATAAAATTAAAAATTGTGTAACAGAAACGAAATTATGTTAATAAAATGACAATATTAAAAATAAAAATAGAAAATAATTATTTCGATAAATTTTCGAAATGCTGTCCATTTTCTTCTAAAATGCTTGCACCTTCCAAATTACCTCTTATTCTGGTAGTTCCAATTTTAACATTCCCGATCTCACGGACTCTCTGGAAAACTCGTTGGAATACGAGCTGTGAGGGTTGCCTTCTGTTTGGAAACCTGCGTAGATTCTCTCTTTAGGCCACCAACGAATTTCCATGACAGAAACCGTAGACAAATATCACATCGGCATATTCGCTGTGGTAAAATTTGATAATACTTAATATATTGTTTTGTAAACTTAATTTCTCGTAACTTCGAGTACCGTAATTAGTTTCGATATGTACGCTTGTAAACAACTTTGTATTTTATAATGGCAGGTACCAACTAGATAACAACAAATAAAATCGTTACATGCATTTTTCTACGAATTGATGCAGGCGATATCTTAGAACCAATTTGCTCGAAAACGGTTCATTATTGAGCTATGAAACAAGAGCACTTATTTTATTCAGAATCGATTGCAGATTCAGAAAAACTTAATCAAATTACATAAAACTAGGATATGCAAAAGTTATGAAGATATAACCTTGAGAACAAGTTGGCCTAGGTCGCTCCTGGCGTCAGATGCAGTTTTAATGACCTTTAATAGATGTACACTTTACCCAAAAATAACTTAAATCCCTTTTTGAGTTATTGCGGAAAGTTGTTATTATTTTTTTCTAAACAACACCCTGTAACTCAGTGAGAGTGCATCGCGGGAAAATATTTTATAAGAATTTTAATCTTATTTTGGTCTGGTCTATCCCTTGGTAAATTTTTGTACGCTGTATACTGTTTAAAAAACAGTTTCTCCGTTGCGGACATCGCTTAAAGAATCTACTGCGGAAAATCATTCCACAATATTATAAAATTATTTATTATAAACGCACTAGGTAATCCACGCGCGGACGCCCCTGCTTTCAAACTGAAATGTCGAGCCTTACTGATAACTTATTGGATTTAAGTGAGGACCGTATTCGCTCTTATTTTCTGCATTTTGCACCGGTTGTACGCTCTCTTCAAAGCTTTATTCATTTTTTTTATTTGAAATTATGTTTTACTCATTTTAATTAATGTATAAACTTATAACTATTTTTCCATGCCTACCTGTAATCCATGTTCAACAAGCGCTCTGCTTATGGCTGCTCCCATTCCAGCACCGGCACCGGTAACTATTGCCACTTTTCCAATCCAACGATCCATGGATAGAACCATTTTGACTATTATTACGTTTAGTAAGACGTATATTATGACTGGTGTTATTACGCAGAAAAAATAGTTCATTTATATAGAGACATTATAATTCCCCCCTTCACCATATCATTTTTTTTTTAACTTTCGAAGAACATCGAATAATATTATCTAAGCAAAGAGCAAACGTAATACGATAACCCTTATATTAATTTATTTTAGATTTGTTAATTAGCCATAACTCATCCATTATCATGTCATTATCTATTGTTTAATCTCGGAAGAACCATTGAATAACAAAAAAAGTTTATTTTGATATTCATTTATGTATAAGATAATTATATACGGAGTTAATTTTATCGCCATCAGATTATCTTCCATTTCAATTTATTAAAAAATGTGTTTAATAAACAGTAAACAATGTTTCAAATTATTATAATAGTAATACATATTTGTTTGTATTTGTGTTGTAGTTTGTATTTTTATTCATATTCAAAGAAGATTCTTGCTAAAAAATTTTTTTATTGCTTATAATTAGTAGGCTTAGTGCAGCGCGCGCGGAGTTTAACAGGACCGTAGTAAGATTATGAATGAAAAAATTAATATCTTTACAGAAAATATGTCGGAACATATTGCCAAAGAGCAAGGCTAAGTAAAGGATAAAAGCATATATAAATTTAAACGACACCGATAAACCTTAATGTTGAGACAAGGCTTCCGTGGCATACTGAAAGGAGTTAAAACATTATTATTACGTGCTTTTCTAAGTTTTCTTTAGTGAAACGGCGACGTTTATCACTTAATATCAACTTGTGTAGGGAAAATGACCGTTTAACGTCTACTGTTGACAACGGACATTATGAGAAATTGTTGAGGCATGAACTGTATATTAATATATTTGCGGGTAACTCCTTACATATGTTTTCCAAATGGTGTATCCTGGATTCTTTGCATTTTTTTGTCGTACTACTGACTGGGCGTATATTATTGACATCGTTTCTGTACATCATCCATTATATCAAATTGTTGATTTAGGGATAGCACATGTGATTCCAATTTACGGAATTACGGAACTTGGGATTCTCTAGTTTGTTTAATGGAATATTGCTTGAAAGAAAGGCGTCTGTAAGTTCACAGAAAAATACAGTCTTCAGCGCTAGACAAGGCATCGCTCTTCAAATGTCTTGTCACTTTAGTTTTGTAACAAGAATTGCGGGACCAAATTTATGTATCTTCGATACCTACCAAATGCCAAAACCATTACTCAAAATCGTGAGTTTTTGTGAATAGAGATGAGTCAGTAGACTACCACCTACCAGTAACTGGAAAAACAGTAATCGCTGTACATAATTTAACAAAACTCTCTTAATAAACACCAAGGATTATTTGGCTGTGTGTATCCAACCAACTTGTGATATTTGCTATATATCTTCATTTTCGTAGAAGTTTATCGTAGATTTGGGTATTGAATACTGTGCTCACATAGTCGAAGGTATTTTCGTGACTAAATAAAGTAATATAGATTGCAATTCATTAAAATATTAACAATAACTTGATAACTAACCTTTTATAAAAAGTACGTCGAGAAAATTTCTTCCGAGCTTGTACTACATTGTCTGTCTTCCAAATTTTGAATATCGAATATTCCATGACATACATTTCTTTAGATTTTGGAGGAAGGAGATTTACGTAAAATGATAGGACGACTTAAAGTTGAAAAACTTTCAATTTATTGTAGGAAAAGCAAATTATTAACATAATATGAAAAATTTAAATGGTAATAATTCTCGAGCTAGCCTATATCTGTAATATATGATTCAAAGGATCGACATTTTTTCATTGTTATTAGATTTTCTTAAAATGGCTCGATAACTGGTCTTATTGTGAGTTGCTGAACCTGCAATATAGAAAATAAATCATTTGATAATAGCGACAATGATAAAATTTAGCACATTTTTTCAATTATTTTAAAATCTTGCAAATTAATATTAAAAAACTTTGAAGTTACACAGCCCCATAAAAAAAATGGAATATCCGAAAGACAAGACCCTGGTATACGTTTTTGGGTAACAAAGTAACCATACATACGAGTATCTATACGTTTATGGGGTTGGTAAATCTGAATCCGATATCTGCTTGATCCGATCAAGTCTGGGTTAAGGTTAGTTCAAGGTCAAATGTAGAGAATCGATTACCCACAAAGTAAACTAACATATCTATACGTTTTTGGGGTCGGTGAATCCTAATCCGGTGTCCGTTTGATCCGATCAGGTCTGCGTCAAGATCAGTTCAAGGTCAAATGTAGAGAATCAATTGCACATAAAGTAAACCTACATTTCTATACGTTTTTGGGGTCGGTGAATCCAAATCCAGGGTATGTTTGACCTGATCAGATCTGCTAAATTCTAAACTCAAAACACTCAAGTATTCATTTATGCGTATTAAAATTTGAGTAACTAATAATATTAAAGAAAGAAAGCTTTAACTCTAAGCCCGTGACTTTCGAGTTTATTGTTTTCACATGATAAAATTCTAGAATCAGTAAGCCTAATTAAGTAAGCATTAAAACAATATGTCCGTTAATGCTTCAAAGCTTCATGTACATTAATTTACATAGTGAGTTCTTGTTCGTTGCGATTCTTGAGATTCAAGATAAGAGATTTTTTGTTTTGATAAATCACATAAAATTAATTACTACATCTCACTATTATGATATTGAGACTACTATAGTAGGATCATATTCTATGCAAAGTAATAAATCATTGCCTGTCAAGGGAACCAATGAAGTACGCTTTTAAGGGTTTTACAAATTGAATAATTTCTTTATACATTATGAAGGGACGAGGGGATCAGTTCAGGTCTGGCACCCTTGTTCCTACAAAAATTCCTTTATTCTCATAAACTATTTATTTTAAATGTAATTTATTATAAATCCAATTTGTTTCCTAAATTCCACATATGTACTACATTTTACCTCTGTACGCGCCACTGTTGTTTACTTGTTTTTTGGAAGCGCTCTCTAATTGACGGCAAAGCTCGCCAGGTTAGTATTTGACGTATAACCGACCAGTTCGTACACTCGATGCACCTGGGCGACTACAGCTACTACCAGAACACAGTGCGTATGCAGCGGTATTTCAGATTTTACATTGAATTTCATTTTAAATTTGAAATGATTTATCTTACGCCTCCTAAAAATGATGACATGATTTTCCTTTGATAAAAGAGCGACAACTTTTTGCTCTACTTTGCATCGAATACGATCCTACTATACTCACTTTTATGGTATCGAACTATTTTGTTGTCAAAAGATCTGAGAAGTGTACTCAAAGTAGTACTCAAATTTTAATACGTTTAAATGCTTGAGCGTTTTGAGTTTAGAACTTGAGCGTATTTAACAGACATGATCAGGTCAAACGAACACCGAATTCTGAGTCAGCAACCCCAAAAACGTATAGATACATTGGTTTACTTTGTTGGCAATTGATTTTCTACATTTGACCTTGAACTGACCTTAACCCAGAGGTCATCGGGTCAAACGAACACCCGATTCGGATTCAGCGACCCCAAAAACATATCGATTCCAGGATCTTGTGTTTCGGATATTCCCTTTTTTTTTGTGGGTCTGTGTTATTATTATTTTACTAGTTTTGCTTACGTATAATTTTGGATTACCTGTACGTGAGCTGGTGTGGATAAAGCGTGTACTACACCATCCACTATGTCCTCCGAATCAAGAATGGACTTTTCTCGTAACATTTTTTTTAAATAGAGGGCTTCCTCTGGATTCAGGTGTCAACAGTATCGACAAGTCCAGGACTAATATTCTTCAAAATAAAAAACATATTTGATATATAGAATAACTAATTTCTAAATTACTTTTAATCCCAGTAGGTATAGCCTTTTCGAAGTCAATTGAACAAGTATAAAAACACCTAGCAATAAAATTTAATGAGTTTCATAAGCGTCCTTAAAAAAGTTTTCTGCTAAAGGAAAATATAATAATAATTTGTATACTGTATGGAAAAGTTCTATTGTATGTTCATTTGACCAACAACATATTTTAATTATCAATGCCCTCAAACAATTTTATTATATTGACGGTAAGTTTGGTTATGACATATCAAAACACATTTACATTTTTATTAAAATACATTACTGCTCGGCAAGAACCAAAGGGAAGGTATGAACATATCTTTGCCAGGAAAGGATGAGGAAAGGTTGTTACTTTAGGTTACAAAAGTTATTAAATAAAAATAATCAATAATAACATAATTCCGCTTTGCTGCCCTGCACTGCACTGCAATTTGTCAACAACTGAAATTTATGGCCGGTCACCCAGTGCGGCTGTGTTTGTACGCCGTTTGCCCGCGCGTATTCTTCAACTGGGCGTATACATTTCTACCACCCCTACATTTAGTTCGACCAGACCTGTACATGGGTGTGGCTAAATAAATATGGGAACAGGTTAGCGACCGAAACTGGTACATACTGCCTAGCTCTTTGGTCTTCGATGGAGATCGGAAAGATTATACCTCCCAGTATTCCTGTAACTAAAGTTTTCCTTGATCCATTTGAAGGCGTTTAAGATCTCTTCTTCTTTGGATACGTCGGTAACGACCGGGTGTAACTTTCCTTTTTGGTTCGAGACTTTCTTCTGTAGTTCCTCCAAACGGTCCTTTCTTCGTGCTAGAGCTGCAACCTACAAGATAAACAAAATAATATCCTAAAAGTTGTTTTACATTTATTAATACTCAATAAATTGTCGCAGTTGAACAAAACAAAATTGAAGACTATTAATTTTTACACTAAATTAACCCAACTATATATTGCCAAAATTGGCTTACAAATTAAAATCAGTTATGTTGTCTGTATTGGCCAATTTACTGAAACTGAGAATTTACCACAATTTATATTACATCTTTACAGCTTAGATACCAGTACGAGGCGACCACATTCCAAATATCGGCAAATCTGGAGATGCAAAAAGACCAGATTTAAGGCGAAGATCACTGCATAACCTCTGCGGAGCTACCATAGGCGGTGTTTGAACGTCTACTCTAGCAACTCATTAATTGAAATTTCCAGTGCAGTGGAAATAATATGGTTTAGTTTATTAATATGGTTTAGTTGAGTTGAGTTGAAAGTCTAGGAAAATAATCGATTAGGAAGGTTAGCCTGCCACTGAATTACGTCCAAATACCGTTCGTAAACAAAAGCACCGATTAGATTTCCCAACATAATCATTGTGATTAGATATATGTATTTATATCAACAGGTGTATTCCATAGAAATAAAAAAACGACGTCGTTCTTACCAGAAGTCCTTGTTTAACAAGTTGTTCAGCAATAGCAGCTCCAATACCGGAACTGGCACCTGTGACTACAGCCACTTTTCTAACCCATCTTTCCATACTCAGCACCATTGTCACCGCTATCGAGTTAACATAAAAATATAATAAGGATAACACAGCCACACACAAAAAAAAAGTTGGGTATACTTTTTATGCGACATATATTTTTCGTAGTAATTTGGCCTCCTGAACACGAATCTGGGGTCAGAATTGGCCCATCACGTCACAATTTTTTCCTAACCTCAAAAAACTTGTGAAAAATAGTGAAAATTGATGAAAATTTACTGGGAAAATTTGGAAAAAAATTTATTTCCACATCAAATAGTACATTGTTATGTAAAAGACTCTGCTGAATTCAAATCCACTGTCAGAAATGAGCTAGAACGTGTGTTTTTTTTCTAACTTCAAAAAACCGAGCAGGAATCGCTATTTTCAAATTCTGAGCGGATTTTGACCAGATTTTGTATAAAGGGGTTTTTTTAGTTGCTGATTACGAATATAAATTCACATTGTAAAAATTCAAGATGACTGATCCAATATGGCGGGTGTACTTTTTTGAAATCCACCGATTTCAGTAAAATTTGGCATCATAAGGATTGCTGGTTGATCTCACCTTCATTAATTACACATCTGGAGCACAACTATTGATCAGAACCTTTTTCGGCACGTTCTTTGGACGGACGAACGAGTTAAAAAGTGCTGATTTTTGCCCAAAATACGTAACCAATGAGCTTTCATATCGATTTTTTAAGTTTTCGCAATTTTGCAAGTTTTTTGTTAATAACAAATTACTGACCATCGATACAGAAAAATGCCATTAAGGTTTTTTGTTCGAAACAATGTAATATAGAAAAGGTTTCATCCTGCCCCCCTCCGTGGTCTGTCCATTCGTTTTTTTGTGCGTCTTTTTAGGGGTGCACCGCTCGCCTATTAGGTCTGCGGGGCAGTATGTGGTTTCAACATGACGATACTGTACCACATAATGCAAAAATTATCGCAGATTATTTGCACGCCACATATGGCGAGAGGCAGATTGGAACAAAGGGTCCAATTTGTTGGCCTGCACGTGCACCAGACTTGATCCCCTTGATTTTTTGGAATTTGGGAAATTAATATTCGTAATGTATGTATATCTAGTTGATGTGAACAATTTTTAAAATTTACTTGTATAAAATTTTAAAGAAATTAATAAATGCGAATATAATGATTATAAAGAACCATAAGGTCTGTATTTTTCTGTCGAGTAAATTTAATTTTAAATTAAACCAATGTCTTTCACTTTCACAAACATGTTTTTTATGAGACAGACATAGATGTAACTGTCAAATAATTAATCAGGAAATGAAAAAAAAAAATGCCTAAAAAGCAAAAATATAGGTAGTTAAAGTAGTAGTATAATAATAAATTGTAATAATTCCTCGTAACTCAATATCATGGATAAATCATTGATCAAGTATTCCTGTGGGTTATAAAATGCTTTATTCAACAAAAATTCTTTTACTCTCCATTAAAAGTTTTTGCAATGTTAAATCGTTAATTGTTATTTATTACTGTCACGCAATGATTATTGCAAAATTAACGTCACGTTTCAACTAATCATAAACAGAACCATTCTTATTTTTATATTCTAAGAATTTTTCTATGAATTGTATAAAAACAATGAAACTCCAATTTTATAAATTAATGCATTTATTTCCGACAAGTCATTCTTTAACATATAAAAAATTAAAATGATAATTCTATAGCCATTCTCCACACAATATATATGATTAAAATGATCTGCATCTTCCCGTCGTCATTTCGTTTTTGTTCAAAATGGCTCAATAACTGGTCTGATAGTCAATTGCTGAACCTGCAATATAAAATATAAATTATGTAGTTGATATAATTGGCTACTGATAAATGGTCAAATTGATATATTTTTTCAATTACTTCAATCTTTCAAGGCATTGTTATAAAACTTAGCTATTATGATAGTCATTCTTTCTGTAATTAATTAAGTTGCCAAGCTTAAAAAAATATCATTAGTAATTTTGGTTTTACGAATTGTAAAAAAAATGATTAAAGCACGTATAAGTTTGATTTTTCACCATAATATATATTTTTTCGGCTTTGTAATAGCATTGTGGAAAAATAAGATGAGGGTAATGAATTTACTAATAACATTTTATTTTATTAACGAAGCTGGTTTNTAGCCTCATGTTTTGAAATGCTGTTTTTATATTGTTTACTTATAAGAGAAATGGACCGAGAAATTGAAGCGGCATAGACAAAGATTGTCGGGGATTAAATTTTAGCTACCGGCTACAATTTAGTACAGTCCGATCGCACAAAGTTTTGTTAAAAGTACACCGAAAGTGCATAATATAAAAATATTGAATATAAGCACCAGTACTACATTTATTTACGATTTGCATACATAATAAGCTTTTATTACTCTCTTTCATTTCTAAACAGACTATAAACGGTTACATTTGTCGGTTTGAATAAAGAGTACGTAATTTTCTGATATTGTTTCTCTTTCCAATGATGGGTAAAGGTCTGTGATGTCTTGCAAGAGAAAAAAGTTATGAACAAAACAAATTTTGAGTTCTATGTAAAGTGCCCTTTAGCGGTGCATAATGAAACTTTTCTCTGACTGGTCCAATAGAGCTTCATCTACTTAGAGGGTGTGCCAAATGAGAGACTAATCGAACTTGAATTAAATAAGTTATTTAAATAGAAAAATAATGAACTTTGACAAGCTGTAACTTGCAAACAATTGACAATTCGAAAAAAGTTTGCATTACATACTGCTATTATTTTAATTCGCAGAATCACCTCCCGGAGTTTCTTGACGGATTTTCAGAACACCCTTATATCATTACCTGTACGTGAGGTGGTGTGGATAAAGCGTATACCACGCCATCTGCGATGTCTTCCGAATCAAGAATCAATCTTTCCTCCATAATTGTTTTAAATACAGGGTTTTGTCTCGCCTCAGATGTTATTATCTCAGTGTCCACAAGTCCGGGACTAATATTCTACGACAAAATCCATTCAGTTAGTAAATAAAATGAGCAATGCGAAGATTCAGTGTAATAATTTTTGTACAATTAAAAAAATAAAAATTATCGGACTGGTCGATTAATTAATCTCACGGAAAGAGTGGAGCTGAACCTTGTTGAAAAATATATATTTAATTTTATTTCTAGTTTAAAACAATCTGTTCAACGGTGTAACTGAATTGAAATTTGGGTTGTTAGTTTGTGTGACATTTTGTATAAACTTTAAAATTACTGGAACAGTCAACTTGATGTATACTCCAGTCGTAAGATCATAAACTTAAAAAAATTATTAGTAGACATTTGGAAGGTATCAAAAAATTAACTCGAAAAAAGTGAAGCTAAGTTAACAACTTGCAAATAAGTGGTGTGTTTTTTCACTTTTTTTACTGTCCGTGAAAATCTAGACGACTATAGGAAAATTAGTTATTTTATGTTGTAAGCAATTAAATTACCTAAAATTTAAAATACATAAAGTCATATTTCACCAATTTTTTTACTGTAAAATAAAGGTCGAAGGCGGAAAAATCGGTTTTCGGAAATTGCGCATGTGGAAAATAAGGTCAATCCAATGACCAACATGTGTGCCAAAGGTCGATTCGATTGACCGTGAAATTGTATCTCCAGCTAATTGTTAATTAATTTTGTTCGTTTTTTTGCAACTAATTGTTTAATTACTAAACGTTAATTTTAGAAGTTAATATCGTAGATATACAGGCTGTTACAAATTCGCCTTTTACTTCAGGGATCTCGCAAACATTATACCTCTAAAAAATCAAGGCTAACATGATTAGTTTTCGAAAGATTTGAAAAAAAAACGAAATTTTGAAAATTCTTCTTTTCTTTCAGGATATTCATACATCTGACATGCAATAATCATATGCTTATCTTCATTTTCAACATTTGACAAAACGGAAACGTTTTTGAACATTTATTAAGTATTAGTAATTTTTTAAAGTGTGATACTCATTTGGAGTTTTGCTTGTTCATATGCATTTTTAAGAATTAATTTGTCATAATGAAATAAAAATTGTTATAATGTTTTAATTTTGACGCAACAACTCATCTAATTATATATGATCAGGAAATTAAAAGTTTAATAATGTTTTATTGTAATGTGTGATGGTATTAGTTTAAATAACTAGGTGGATTTCACAGGGTCTAACGACACTTATTGAGTGTACGATAATTCAATAAACATTGAAATCTAAATAAAAAATTTAGATAAATTTGGAGCGAATACACTGAAGATGAATTTTTCGAGACAAAACGTTTGAATCTGGTTCGGGCTGGGGCAGTACAGTACTGGGGGTAATGAAGGCTTAAAATTGATTATGCCATTCGATAGAGGGCAAAAAGTTGCCATAAGAAAGTGTTCTTCTTTTTTTAATATCACCTCAAACAAGGCTTATATGAAATAAAAACGGATTTCCAAAATGTCGGTTTTTTTCAAATATTTCGAAAACTAATCATGTTAGCCTTGATTGTTTAGAGGCATAATGTTGGTTCCCGGACTATGCAACTTTGCCCCCATTTAAGCTACTTTGTATCTCTTACCGTTTCCGAGATCCCTGTAGTGAGAAGCGAATTTGTAACAGCCTGTAGATTGTAATTGATCCAAACAAACGTATTGAAAAAGAAACATTTCAAAAAGTTGAAATTAGCTTGCTCTTTACAATTAACAAAGTAGGATGTTCAATACAAGGTTATAAATAAATTGTTCCAGGGTCAGGCAAAAGCCGCTGGGGAATTCGCTCTTTTTGCATGTCGGATGGCATCGAAATTTTGAGATTTTTAGTAACAGTACCTCCTAGTATCTCTATTGCTGATTCGTTGAGTTCTTTAAGCTATTGGTTCATGAAATTATTATATACAATTACAAAACTACCTACATAAATCTTGATGAAAAGGTATTTATTTTTTCCTCTGTTATTGTGGTTTTTTTTCTCAATTTTGAAACATTTTCTAAAAATGATTGCTATAAACTCTAGTTGCTTTGTGCACACTTTTTTGTCCAAGAGGTAAAATAAATTACTGGAACAGAGATCTGATGATTCTGTTGGCCATTCTTTTTGTACAAATCAAACAAATAGGATAATTAATTTTAAAGTTTACTTCAAGACATCTCTCAGTATATTCACGTGCTCCTATTGCAGAATATAGAGGTAAAATTATAAAAAAAATCGATTGTTACCGTAATTTTGATTTTCGACTTCATGGATAGGAGTTCCAGCCTCAGTGTCTCTGCCAGAGCCCTAACAGCGAATTTTGTAGCAGGATACACACTTAGATTCTCGTAGTTATACACTTGATGACCCATAACACTGTTAATATGGATGATGTGCCCATCCACGTTGTTGGCTCTCATGTCTCTGACGGCCTCCCTTGTGGCGATGCTCAGCCCCAGCACGTTGACCTCAAAGGTTTTTCTCCAGGCTTCGGCGTCACCATCGCACAGCGGTTGGTTATATGGGAAAATACCGGCGTTGTTGACTAGAATGTGTACAGGGCCCAAGTTTTCCTTGATCCATTTGAAGGCGGTTAAGATGTCTTCTTCTTTGGATATGTCGGTAACGACTGGATGTAACTTTCCCTTTTGGTTCGAGACTTTCTTCTGTAGTTCCTCCAAACGGTCTTTTCTTCGCGCCAGAGCTGCAACCTGCAGGATAATACTGTAGAACCTGTTTTACAGTTGCTAATACCCAATAACTTGTTCAAGAAATTGTTACAATTATTGGTTATATTTGTGGCACTTTTTGCAATAAATTGACCAATTCATTGGTAAAATTTAAAACTACCAACTTTCATCATAAATATCAATAATGATCACAACAAACCAAAAGTGGCTATCATGTAACTTATGTTATACAGGGTATTTCAAACTCGATAGTATGGGTCTAATGTAAGGACACAAAAAATTTATATAAAATTTGAGACACGTGGTGTTAAATAGGATGAGGTAAGCTCCATTTTCAATAGAAAGTATTATCTTTGGGATTTGACAGAAACGACTAATGCCGTTTCCAGAAATATACCCTAATTTTTTTTCCTGTTAAAAAGCTCTCCTTTTTCTAATAAACTTTTAATAGAGACATTTTTCTGTATTACTTCCCGTTGAAAAGTTATAAGCAATATCGTCGTTGGAAAATAATTGATAATAAAATAATGTTCGTTGTTTAAAGTGCATAAATGTCACAAAATACTTGTCATTACTCAATACGAACGTCAAATGTTTAACTTTTGTGCTTACAAAATGTTTCTTCATTCAGAAAAAGTCGACATGTTGCTAATTTACAGCGAGTCACAAAGAAATTCAAGAAGAGCTGTAGAGTTATATCGAGAAAGGTAGATATCCAGAGGGCCTCATTCCTGATCATGGAAATTTTACTAGAATACAGGCGATTTTGTGACGAAATGAAGATGCATTTTCTATTCGGAAATATCAAATAATTGACCGAAGGGTAAGGCAACAATGTGAATACAGCTAGAATGTTAAGTATTTCGAACAAAATCCACGAAATTCTATACGGCAGGCTAGCCGAGAATTGCATTTGGATAAAACAGCTCTTCAATGAATTTTAAAGATCAATGGGTATGATGACTACAAAATTCACAATTTGGAGTATTTGCCTTAGCGTCCACATTGAAAACAGACTTAATTTTATAGCTCAAATTGTAGTAAATGTAGAAACTGTTGATCAGAACCTTTTTCGGCACGTTCTTTGGACGGACGAAAGTCGGTTTGTCAGTAATGGTTTATCAAACAGGTGCAACGAACTAGAATCCGAAAATTTTTTTCTAATCATTATGTACAATTTTGAGCTATTTATTAAAATTTACACTTTAATTACTCGAAAAACGTAAGATTCCATGTTACATTGATAAACAAAAAAATTACAAGTCGAAATATACTATTATAATTAACAACCAAATAAGTTAATAAAGTTAATATTTAATAAGACATCTACAATATTTTGAGAAAGTTGTAGAATCTTCTTTCGTTTCTTTGCATTTCCTGAGAAAACTTACCATAGTAATGTATATTTTTTTTTACACCATCAGAAAGTAGAGATTTCAACGAAGAAAAAGCCCACCGACGTTTTTAAAAAAGCAGATATTTTGACGTGAGAATTTTCGATTGAAAATTAGGGTGCTTTTTCGATATTAAGTAAAAATAAGGTGAAAAAATAAATATTTCAAATCAAAAAAATTACAGCGTGTTTGGGACATAAATAGGTAAGTTTTCACCAAATTTCGTGAAAAAAAAATTTTTTTGTAAAAGATAAAAATAAAAAACCAAAAACTTGGTTATTTGAATTTTTCACATAAATTTTGAGGTTATGTGAAAAAAGTGTAAATACAAAAGTTGTAGATCTTTTTATTACCTACAACTTTGCCATTTAACTTTTTTCCATAAGACTTGTAGTTTTTCCGGAAATCAAGATAAACCGTTTTTTACCCTTAAAAACTCACCCCCTTCCCCTTCCCGACCTCAGATCGCCCGTAAATTATTTTTCCTTTCATTTCTGTTATATTCTCTTTCTTTTCCAATGGGTTTCATCCTACTATAATTTTTTTTGGTTTCAAAAATTATCGACCCTGGTCTATATCGAGTTTAATCCTTTTATTTATTCTTAATGACATTTATGCACTTTAAACAACGAACATTTATTTATTTTCCAACGACTACTTGATCCTTCCACCGCTAATTTGATTTTTAGGTGGTATTTTTTTTGAGACTCTTTACGACGATATTGCTTATAACTTTTAAACGAGAAGTAATACTGAAAAATTTCTATAATAAAAGTTTATTAGAAAAAAGAGAGCTTTTTAACAGGAAAAAAATACAATAACTAACGTAGGTACCATGATTGTAAACTTCTCTTCAGGTGATTAAATGTAGAATGTAAGCGAAATAAACTTGTTTTCGAAATCCTATCGTTTTAAGGATATAGGGCGTTGTTTAAAAAAAATATTACTCCTCTAAACATCTGATCATATGGAAATTTTGAAACAATGTCTTGTGTGCACAGTGTATGAATAAAGTGATATCCAACATATACAAATTTGCTCTTGCTCAAACTAGTGGAGTAGATATGAGTATCGTGGTTACATTTTCCTCAAAACTGCAGCACGCCACTGCAAGAAATATGGTTGCGTCATTTTTAAAATGCAAAACTTATTTGAACAAAAAAGAAGTAAAGCTGATAAAATTTAGATAAATGACTTTATAAAATGTGTTTAAAACTCTTTCTTTGTTTCAATAGACTCTGGTAGGTCCGATGAATCCGTTTGTAACTTTTTTTAATTCACAACCTGTATCTTAAACATGAGAGCTTAAAAGCAATTGTGTAGATGAGAAAACATACTTAAATTAGGGCTAGTAAAACATTGAAATATGTACTTTGTATTATACGTAATTTTAAATTTATTTAAACATGTCCTACAAGTTGCTAATGTGTACCAAAACGGTAAAAGCTATGCAAAAAGTCAATATATATTACTTTCGTTAAAAATAAAATGTATCGTTGAAGCATTACAAAAAGTATTTTTTGTCATGCCATAATTTTTGGGGCAAATGTAACAAGCGTATCTCATGTCGACTGAGACTTAGGTATTTTTTCAACTGAACGTGATTTCATGTATAACAGATGTTTCATTGAAATAAGAACGTCTATTGAAATTTATAGCCTAAATAAGAAAACCATAAATTTATTTTCTGGTCACTGATATAAAATCCAGATTAAAATTTTATTGTCTTTACTTTTTCTCTTAAATTTAGTCGTAGAATGTGATGGTAAAATGTTGCATACTAATTTAAATAATATTTATTTATTTATTTCGACACAACGTTTTTAAAACATGTATTTTTGCCTGATATCTATAAAATTATTATAAATGCTACTTCTAATGATAGATTTTATTAAAATGATTTGGTCGAGTTTGTTAATAAATTTAAATAAATAGAATAATTTGGAATAGAATAATAACATAATCTTTGTAAGTATAGGTATCAACATTAACATATATTGTAAGAAAGAACAAAGTCAGGGGAGATTTTTTTTCAAATTTATTGAGAAATACGTGAATATTACAATTATTTTACAACGGATCAAATCTTCAATGAGCAGAATACAAAATGTGATGGTATTCAGAGTCCCAACAAAGACGTGTGGATCGTAAGAGATGTTCGACCCGACAGGATACTCAGCAAGGCACGAATATGCAGAAAATATGACCCGGTAGGAAAAATGGGACCTTGAACCCCTCAGGCTTACAATAGATACATGGAGAGAGACCCTTAACAACAATATCAGGACATTTAACCTAACTTCAACAATTTCGGGACATTTAACCCACTACAGTAATATCGGGACATTTAACCCACTACAACAATATCGGGACATTTAACCCACTTCAAAAATATCGGGACATTTAACCCACTCAATACGTAAATAATATCGGGACATTTAACCCACTCAATACATGAATAATATTGGGACATTTAACCCACTTAATACATAAATAATATCGGGACATTTAACCCGCTCAATACATGAATAATATTGGGACATTTAACCCACTTAATACATAAATAATATCGGGACATTTAACCCGCTCAATACATGAATACTATTGAGACATTTAACCCCCTTAATACATAAATAATATCCGGACATTTAACCCACTCAAAACATTTACACATTACGGGACCTTTAACCCATCGAAATACATCGGTAACAATGGGACTCTTAACTCATTATATTGACATAAATGATATTGGGCAAAGACATTCTTAACACCGATAATTCAAACTACTGGAGATTATCAGCCCAATATAAATCTTACAGCTGCTAAAAAGTCTACTCACCCAACTAACAAAAGTAACCACCACCAAATTACAATAATATCCAAAACGAACCTATCCAGAGGAAATTACAATTAACACCAAACAACAACTAATAAACTATTTGAAAACAACTATCGCAGGGACGACCGTCTCGTATCTCCAAACGTGATAGACTGCCTCTGCCTAATCACGTACTCTCCGTGTCAGTCTACTCCAACGGTCAGCTTACATAACCAACGGCCGACCTCTTTGTTACAATGCAACGGCCTCCTTACATAACCAACGGCCAACCTCTTTGTAACAATATATTCCAAATAAAGATAAAAAAATGACATGTTCTTTCTTACCAGAAGCCCTTGTTTAACAAGTTGTTCCGCAATAGCGGCTCCGATACCAGAGCTGGCACCTGTGACTACGGCCACTTTGCCCACCCAACGATCCATAGACAGCACCATTGTCACTGTTTTCGATTCAACAAAGATAAATATGTAATCCACGGGTACGGAGTTCCTGACCTAAATCGTTATCTTACGCTGTACTACTGCGACGTAAATTCGTCATATTATAATATTACATTACTTTAATACCTATACCCATCTCACTTTTTCATATTTATACGTCTACAGTCTGTTTGATTATAAATACCACGAGCTATAACTCAGTTACCCATTTTATCTAGTTTATATAACACCACCAAATAACATTGATCAGTTGAACGACATAATTAGTACAGCAATAAATAATATTCCACATAACGTTAAATTAAATGCAATTCGAATTATGTATCGAAAGGAATGGACAACAATTTG